GAAGCCTCCTGATCCAAGGTTAACCAAAGGCAAACTTGGGGTTCACAATGCGATTGGGTATCCCGCAACAGGCTGTGAAGGCAGCCACCTTCATTCTTGTCTCCCCTCTTAGATGTATGTACTCAGGAACATACATTTATCAGTCAAGAGCACCACCCAGCTTTCATATCAAAGGCTTATCTAAATTTGATATTGTTTTATGTGAATCAAAAACGGTTCCAGCTAGGTTTCCTTTTGATGTGAACAATGTGATGACAAGGGCTGTAGCTTTGTGGGATGTCTGCTTAGCACACCGCTGCCTATCCCTGGAGATTGCTAAGTCTCTGCTTTTCAACACATACAGCATTGTGGCACTTCTTCACGCTTCAACCACATCTTCAGGAAGCATCTGGGGTGAGAGCAGAGAGTCTGCGCTTGCTCAAAACTACACGTTCTGCCTTATTTGTCTGGAAGTGACTAATCTCAACCCTTGGGTATGCAGTGAGCAGAGATGATGCCTGGGGTTTGCTAACACTCACCCGCTGAAACACAGACACATGACATCACCAGTGAAATCCTGAAACTGTCACTCCCTCTGCCCTAAGAGCTCAGCACTGTGAGAACTGTTCCTTGTTTTGTAATAATCTTGAGTGACTAGTGACTGACTATCCCATCTCTGAAATGCTTGGAGCCAGAAGTGTTTAAGGAGGTGTTATTGTTGTTTGATTTGGGAATACCTACATAAACACAATGAGATATCCTGTGGATGGGACCTAATTCTAAAAATGAAACTTACTTATCTTACACATGTATCTTACACACATAGCTTGAAGATAATTACATATGGTTTTCTTAGCATGCCTGTATGGTGTGTGTTTGCTTGTTTATAGTGCTGGGGGTAGAACTCAGAGCCTTGACCACACTAGGCAAGCACTTGTCCATTGAGCTACATCCCCAGCCCTCTGCCTGTGTATTGAGTGTGATCATCACATTAATTCAGGTACAGATGTTTCCACTTGTGGAAACTGTTCAGATTTTAGAGCATTTCAGATTATGGACTTTGCACTGGAGATGCTCAATATATCCTAACTACTCAAACTGAATCTCAAAGTTCCTCAAACTGAATTTTAAACTCAGTTTAATGTGTTTATGTGAGTGCTCCAAAATAGTGGTTCTCAACCGCTTCCCCTTCCCTCTGACTAATGCCCTTAAAAGACTTTGGTCTAACTAACTTAGAAAGAGATTGGGCATTAGCACTTTCCAATCAGAAAATAGCTAGCTACCACCATAACATTCAAGTCACTATAGTACCATTGTATCATTGCTGGCTGGTTGGTACTATATAGCTCATAGGGCCCACGGCTAGGTAAGACTTGATGACTGAACCCTCACTCCCAGCCCACAACAGCCTATATAGCACCTTCTGGCACTCTGAAAGCCAGCTAAAAAGAAGAAACTTCTAGATCGGTCCCAGCAAACAGTGACTGTGGAGTTCTTGGCTCTAAATGGATATAGGTATCATTCCTGCTCCCCTAAGACTGTGGAACAATACAAAAGAGGTGGCAGAAGATTCTAAGAGCCAGAGGTTGAGTAGGACTGCTGTAAAACAAGGCCCTTGTAATGGGAGATGTCATTCTATAAATATGTTCCTCTTATTGGTTGATGAATAAAGCACTGTTGGCCAATAGGGAAGCAAGATAGGTGAGTCTAGGAGATGAGGAGGATTCTGGGTAGTGCAGGCACAGAGAGATGTCATGTAGACTGCAATAAGAGGCCCAGACCTTTTCTCTGGTAAGATAAGACCATGGAAATACTTAAGATTTATAGAAATGGGTTAGTAATTAAGACAGAGATAGCCAATAAGAAGCCAACAGATTTATAATTAATATAGTGTCTCGTGTGTTATTTGGGGGCTGAAGTGGCAGCTGGTGGGAAAGAGTACACATAACACTCTTGTTTTCATGAATTCACATCAGCTACGGTTACCTAAACAAGAACAAGCCACTCAACTTTCCAGCATGGACAGGAGAGGGTCCCATAAAGCCCATCTCTAGCTGAGGAGATATTGGCAGTTGATGGCTTTGGAAGAGGACAAATCACTTTCCTTCAGGAGTGTAGCCTCTGATAGGGATTGCTCATGCTCCAGCAGATGTGCCACACCATGCATACATGGACAGCACTAACTGCAACTCAGCGGGTCATAAAAAGAAAAAGAAGACATGAAATTAGAAGGGATGTGTATGCTGAGGGCACTGAGAGAAGTTAGGGGGAAATGGGATGGGTATGATCTAAACTACATTGTATACTTCTCTGAAATTAAAGAATAAATAAAAATACTATTGAAAATGCATTAAGACAAGACAATGGAAGGAAAGTACTTGAAGAGGATCAACAGAGCAATGAAGAAGGACGAACAATGGTAACTGAGAGGAGAGCAGGACAAAACTATATGGTGAACATTCATGAAAATGCCATGATGAAACATTATTTTGTACAGTAAATATTTGTTAATAAGAAGCTTTCTTTTATGTGATGTTAACAGATATTACCTAGGACAAGTGTTTGGAGCTGGAATCAGTTTGGAATGTACTGGTTATCTTTGCTGTGAGACTCCTAAGAACTTTAAATAGTAAGCAGAACTTTAAATGTCTGTGATGTGAGTTTCCAAGGTGTGGTATGAATATGCAAGAAGCTTAACCTACATGGGATGAGATTTTAGGATTTGTTTTGGAAAGTAGCCCTTTATACCAGTGGTTCCCACATACTAGCTAATGAAGGGCAGCATTAGGTATCATTTGGCAAACTTATTAAAACAATGATTCATGGGCCACACCCTAGTGGGGGAGGGGAGAACACATCATTCAAATGAACAAATTGAAGTGATACTTATGCATACTCATGCTTGGGGATAAGAGATATGCTGATCATAAGATAATAAAAAAGTGTATAATATTTGAAAGGCCAGGGCTGAGAATATAGTTAAACTGGTAGAGTACTTGCCTAGCATACCCAAGGCCCTAGGTTCCATTCCCAGCATAAACTGGAGTGGTGGTGCCCACCTGTGATGCCAACACTTAGAAAGTGGAAGCAGGAGGGCTGTAAGTTTAAAGTTATCCTCAGCCAATATATATATATATATATATATATATATATATTCATATCAACCCTGTCTCAATATATATCAATGCCAAGCAGCACGGAAGGTCTCTGAATACAGCCAGATAATAGCATTTGCTATGATTTGGACACAAAGTCCTTCTCAAAATGTTCCTGTTTTGGAGACCTGGGCTCCAGCATGTAGATCCAGTCACTGGGAGGAAACTGGATCATGAGGGCTCTGACATAATCAGTGGACTAACCCCTTGGAGGATTGAAAGCTTGATGGCATGTACAGGAAGAGGGGGTCTGGCTGTGGAATGCAGGTCGCTGGGGGCATGCCTTTGAAGGATTTTTTTCCCCTTGGCCCCTTGGTATCTGCCTGTCAGCTGTCACGGGGGAACACCTCTGCTCCACCACATGCTTCCTGCCATGCTGCTGTGCTTCACCACAACCTAGGAAAACAGAGCCACATGGCCATGTACTAAAACTAGAATCAGTTTATGTCAGGAGTGTTGCCACTGTGATAAATGCATATACTCATATCTTTTATGAAAAATAATGCCAAGTGTTGAAGCCTGCTACTATAAGAATGATGACTTCAGAATCTCCAAGAACAGACTGTCTTTATTACTAATTGGAAAGCAATGTGTAGTGATGTACTTGTTTGTTTCTTCATGTTCATCTTCTCTTAGCAGAACTGATGGCCCATGGCCAATTGGTGAACAGACCCAGTGGTGCAGTCTTCCCAAGCAATTTCTCCTAGATGAAGCTCTCGAATTTTCCTCAAATGATACTAACTCACAGTAGGAAGATGAGTGTTTCCTTGAGTGAAAATTCTAGAATGCATATTTGCTTATTCCTCAGTGCTCTCAAAACTGTGCCTGGTCAATAAATCATTTCAGGGCTCAAACGAAGAACCTGCTATGGTTACTGATAACTACATATTTAAGCCATATTTTTAAATTTATTTATTTATTGATAGGGCCTTGCATCAAGGCTAGCTTCCAACTTTCTATGTAGCTGGGAATGACCTTGAACTTCTGATCCTGTCTTAACTTCCTGAGTATTGAGATCATATGTTTACATCAATCATATCCAGTTTACATGGTCTAAGGATGGAACCTAGTGACTCATGCGTGCTAACCAAGCAGTCTCCAACAAATCTACAACCCCAGGCCTGTACCATGTTCTTCGTTTGTTGGCTATTTCACATGAATGATACTATGTCTGTAGTCACAAAGACGTTTATAAGAAGGCATAATCATGGGTTGGAGAGATGGCTCAGAGATTAAGAGCACTGGCTGCTCTTCCAGAGGTCATGAGTTCAATTCACATGGTGGTTCACAACCATCTATAATGAGATCTAGTGGCCTCTCCTGGTGTGCAGGCATACATACATGTAGAACACTGTATACATAATACTGTATACATAATTTTAAAAAGCCATAATCACATATAACCAATAAGAAGCACCGAAGTTTTCATGTACTAACATAGTGAAAAGAAAAAGCAAAGAATATGTCAAGGTTCCTACATTAAAAGTAAATAATTATCTACTTTGAAAAAATACAGAAATTATACACAAGAAAAAGCTAAACACTGATATAACTAGAGAAAATTTTTGATGTCAAGACTTTCTACACACTAATACAGCTAACAGTCACTGAGCAGTCTCATCACACTCAACCTTGCTACTACTATTAGGTCCATGTCTCATGCTCAGAAAAACTACACAGTCTGACCAAGTCAGCTGTGAACTAGGAGTCAGACTCCAGGCTGTTCTCATCTGGAGCCACTAAACAGCATGCCTTACTACTGCCTGAATCTGGGATGGTACCCCAGGCTGTTCTCATCTGGAGCCATTCACCAGCATGTCTTGCTACTGCCTGAGTCTGGGATGGTACCCCCCACAGGGACGTTACCTCCTTGATTCGCTTGACTAGAGCGTTCTGATCAAAAGCAACTGCTTCTGCACACTGGTGCAGGTGATCTTGGTACCGTAGGCAGAGCTGCAACACCTGCTGAGAGTCCAGCTTCTCCAGTTTGGCATTTGTTGGGGATGTCTGTCCACTCAGGAGCCCTTCAAAGGAGAGAGGAAAAAAGAAATGAGAATTACTGCTGATAAACTTGTGACTAACCTACTTGAAGTTCACAGAGGCAGGGAAAGAAACATTTACTTTTTGCATCTTTTGCTCTGTGCAAGTGAAAATCATTGCATCTACCTTTTATGGAGCACAACCACTCACCGACTACTTTTTCCATGTGATTTCGGGGCATGGTTTTCTTAGCCCTATTTTACATATGAGGGAGCCAGGACACAGAGAGGCCAAGTAACTTTCTGACCATCATGAAATGAACAGTGGCTTCCCTTAGTGCTCCTAGCCTATCACACCACCTCAAAGTATTAGGAAGATTCACACACACACACACACACACACACACACACACACACACACACACACACACACACATCTTCTTAGTTGAAAAGGATGGAAGATGCATTTACTTAAGTTTAATTCCTATTGGTTACTAATATGGTTATCTGAGAAACTGAGAAAAATATACAAGGAAATGATAAGAATTGATACCGAAACTAAACAAAAGCCAGACTGTCAGCTAACAGGCCTGAAACCCTGTGTTTTTTCCTAACATTGGTTGGCATAGACGTAGAATGTCAGTAAGTGCAGGAACTGGGCCACTGTTTTTAGTTTTCTAGTTGTCTTTAGCTTGTAAAAGAGATTCACACAAAGTAGATGTTTACTGAATTAAAACCTGGTCTAATGGACTCCATTTATTAAGTGGTGGGTTTGCAAATGGCAACACTGGACATATTTCTTAAGCACATGTTGAAACCACTCTTTTTATACAGATGTTAAGAGAGCCAACAAATTGCCAACTACACCCACCTCTTTATGTAAAGTGCTAAGTAGGAAAATCACAGGGTTAGAAATTTGGTGCCCATTTTTCTAAGTTTTTGTGTTAAACATCATAAGGGTTAAAACATAAAACATAGTAAAGAGCCATATGCTTATTACATTAGACCACTGCCAAACTGAATTTCTCAACCCCGAGAGCTCAGTTGTAAAATTAGAAATTAACAGTATGACGTTGGACACATATTTTAAAATGACTGAATCTAGAAAGTAGATTCTATGACTCTGGCAAAAGTTCCTGGGAAGGTATAATTAAGCAACATGCTATGAAAAAGGAAAAGAAATCCCTCTGTGTGAGCTAAATGCTCCCCAAATTGCCATTTGAAATCCCACAGATACTCATTTCTAACTCCCAGTACTAGGATCATAGGCGTGCACCAAGTCTGGCTGTTTGAGTGTGTGTGTGTGTGAGTGTGTGTGTGTGTGTGTGTGTGTAGAGAGAGAGAGAGAGAGAGAGAGAGAGAGAGAGAGAGTGTGTGTGTGTGTGTGTGTGTGTGTGTGAGAGAGAGAGAGAGAGAGAGAGAGAGAGAGAGAGAGAGAGAGAGAGAGAGAGAGAGAGAGAGAGAGAGAGAGAGAGAGAGAGAGAGAGAGAGTGTGTGTGTGTGTGTGTGTGAGTGTGTGTGTACCTCAGTACTACTATGTGTGTGCACTTATCTCAGTACTGCTATAGAGATCAGAGGATAACTTCTTTTATGTAAACCTTTAAATTTTTCTTTAGCTTTTTAACATTTTTATTATTTTTTGAGATTTCATACATGTATGAAATGAATTTTGATCTTCACTGCTCTCAGATCCTTTTCTCATGCCCCTCCTAACTTCTTATCCTGTTTTAAAAGTAACCCACTGAGTCCAGTTAGTTCTGCTTCCGCACCTGTGGGTGTGGGTGGGACCATGCAATGGAACCTGGTCAACCTACCAGGAACCACTCCCCTAATGAAAACCGACTCTCCCTTCTCTAGTAGCCATCAACTGCCAATAGCTCTGAAGCACAATTTTTGGGAGTCTGCCTCACCCAATACTGTGTGGGTCCTGGGAATCACATAGCTCTGCAGCAAGTACTGGCTGGGTCCTGGGGATCAAACTCAAGCTGTACATAGCTCTGCAGTGAGCACTTTTACCTGCTCAATCATCTTGCCAATGCCATTCCAGGCTATTTCTGTAAATTCCAGTAGTCTGACTAAGATCCTCATGCTTGTGCAGCAAGCACTTTTCCTAGGAGTCAACTCCCAGCCCAGGCTCTTGCCTTTCTAACCAAAGATGTTTTCTTATGTTCATTTAGAGTGTGTGTGTGTGTGTGTGTGTGTGTGTGTGTAGACAAAGTGTCTTGCCCTGCTTTGCCAGCTCATCAGTCTTACTCCTCCCTTTCTAAGAACAGACTGGTAGGGTTGGTGGGGCTGGGAGGTGGCTCAGCTGGCCCAGGGCTTGTCCAGCATATACAAAGCCCATGTTCATGAATAGACTGGGTGTACTGGGCATGACTACAATTCCAGCATCACTTGGTAGGTAAAAGCAAGACGATCAGGAATTCAAAGTCATCCCTCTCTACACAGAAATTTGTAGCCTGGGCTATATGAAATCCTATCAGAAAAAAAAAAACAAAAACATTGATTTTGAAGTGGCACTCAGTCCTCAGAGAATCTGTGGCAGGACATAAGACACTTCCTCCAGACAAGTTTAATTGCTTATCTAGAGATGGCATATGGACCAAAGAAACAAGAATAGAGGATGTCACAACCAAAGTATGTATAGCTTTTCCACAGGTGAGCAGTCATCAAGAAATCTCCCCTCCAATTAATGTCTTAATATTTCACAATCTCCCTTTTCATCCAAATAACTAAGTCAAACATTAGAGTCCTCTTGCTTCTATAACACTCTCTAGGTTCACAGGTTTGTTCTCTGTTTGAACTCATCTGGTAGGAAACAGAGACACCGAGGGATACTAGCAAAGGTGTGAGCTCCGGGTCAGGAAGACTTGAAATGATCCAGAGATTGTCACTGAGTGCTGAGCCATGGTGGAGAAGTCACCACACTACTCCCACATCAGCTCTTCATGGACCTCAAGAGTAACTGTAGGAGTTTCATGATGGTACACACCTGGCATAGATTACAAAGTCAACTTATAGATACTAACTCGCTGTCCCAAAGTCTCCAGCTCCCAACTACTGCAGGAGTCAAATAAGCAGGGGTACAAAATCAGCCTGTCAATAGCTTATCATACTATGTTTGTGTGTTTGGTAGGTACATATCACTATGTACTAGTCTTGTAGGATATACCAAAGACACAATCCCACCACCCAAGGTGACCACTAGAAGAAGTAGACATTAAGTACAAGAAGGTAAGAAAATAAAAAGAAAAAAAATGCCAGAGGGCAGTGGAGACACGCACCTTTAATCCCAGCACTTGGAAGGCAGAGGCAGGTGGATCTCTGAGGCCAGCCTGGTCTCCAGATCGAGTTCCAGGACAGCCAGGGCTACACAGAGAAACCCTGTCTCAAAAACAAACAAACAAAAAACAAACCCAAATGAACAAATAATAAACAAAAAAATAGGAGCTAAAATAAAAATTTTTTAAATCCAACTTAAAGAGGCATTTCTCTAAAAAAAAAAATCTTAAAACAGCCAGTCAATAGAACATAAACATGCCAGACATGACTTCTCATCAGGGAAATGCAAAACAAAACCAAAAGATGGGCAATGTAGCACACATTTCTAAGAGGATTGTAGTAAATTTAAGGCCAGCTTGGACTACATAGGGAGTTCCAGGCAAGCCAGGGTTAAACAGTAAGGCACCTCATTTCAGTCAACAAAACAAAACAAACAAAGCAACCACAACAAGGTAATAATCCTCAGGTTGGCTATTGTTTTGATAACAGAAAACAAAAGGTGTTAGGGGAGGGTTTGAAGTAGGTAGAACCTGCCTACATTTCTTCTTTTTAATCAGAGAGAGGTAAGGAGGGACAGTCAGGGAGACAGAGGCAGAGAGAGAGAGAGAGACAGAGAGAGAGAGAGAGAGAGAGAGAGACAGAGACAGAGAGAGAGACAGAGAGACACAGAGAGAGAGACAGAGAGAGAGAGAGAGAGAGAACTACAGAGAGACACACAGAGAGAAGTATTATTTCCAGTAATAGATTTGCTCAGTAACTTAAAGTTAACTTCAGTCTAATTTATTTTTCAGTGTGGTATCAGCTACCCATCCCAAACTCCCCAGTTCTATGCACAAAGCTATACATGTTGCAAGTAAAGGATTGAACATAACTTGATCAAAGAGAGTGGACAAAATGAACCTGTCCTATTAGGAATCTGTGAACAGATTCTAACAACTACTTTGGATCACAAAGGAGCAGAGAGGTGTAAGTCAACGCCCTGCAGAGCATCCAGGCAACTTGCCCTGAGTAGCTAGGGCTACAAAGGTCCTTGGAAGCAGGAATATGGCCCCATCAGCTGATTCTTACACCAGGAAATAGCCAAACTCCTATGAGTGGCTCATAAACTGATTTGCCTTCAGCAGGTCAGCCCACCTAAGCAGGTAGATTCATGGCTTGGACACATCACCAGGAAATGTCTTTTACTTTGAAAGCCACCATATAGATGGGCGTGTTGACATGCATGACTGTAATCCCTGCACTTGGGGGGTGGGCGAAAGAGCATCAGGAGATCAGTGCCAGCCTTGGCTACATAGCAACTTGAAGATCATTCTGGACTGCATGATATCCTGTTAGGAAAAAAAGGCAGAAATAAAAAGAAAAGGATGGGCCACTGGATGGTCAGGCACAAAACCGCAAAACAGGGGCACAAGAGCAAAAAAAATAGTATAATGCCTCCAAAAATAAAAACTCCAAAGAAAAGAGTCTGACAAGTGGCCTGAACTGTAATAAATAATATCGATTCCAAGAAAACAGACCAGACATGAGTTCAGATCAACTACAATTAAGTTTAGATTTTGCTAACTAAATACTCCTGTAATAAGAAGGCCCAGAGAAGAAAAAGGCGATCAACAGGAAACAAAATGAAAATTACATTTCCTTGCCTGGAAACAGAGTTCTTGAACCAAGTTTCCTTCCAAGTCTCAACTTTCATAATTTATACTTTCTTTACATTTTTCTTACATTTTATTTTGTGTAGGGAAGGGGTACATATATCCCAGGGC